TGCACTGGAATGGCACCAAAGCGGCATAGGCTTGAGGCATAGGAGCGCGGATTGCATTGGCCTTGGCTTGAGCGCTGTTGTCCTTTTTGGCAGAAAGGAGCACGGATGAGACCTTGGCAAATGTGAGGTCTGCAGGAGCAAGTCCCAAGAGCATCTTGCGTATGACTTCGTATGCCGGAGTGAGGCCGACTAGGAGAGCGGCTGCAGGGGCTTGCTCGGGGAAGACTATCCCCAACTGTTTGAGTTCACCATGCTTGGTGACATAGTCCGCCATGCCTGGCGAGTCCTCGAGCCGCACTTGGAACATGCTGGGGATGAGTATAGCAACTCCCACTGTAGTCTTGTTCAGGAAGCGATCTTCGAGGTAGAGCCAAATGGCGTTGGCAGACGGGTAGTTGTGGTAGGTTTCGACGAGTTTGGGAGGAGTGGTGCCCATGAAGACACTAATGACCGCACCATCGGCCTTCTCCCAATTCTTGAACTTGAGCAGTGCAGCAGCATAAACTGCTTCGGCGACGGCATCAGCTGGATCGGCGGACCTCTCGGGTTTAGGAGGCTCTTTGCCGTCACCGATGTTGAGAAGGACGTTGGTGAGCTCGAGCCCCTTCACCTCGCGACTGAGGAGGTGCTTGTCGACACCATAGCGCCAAGCCTTGTAGTTGGAGCATGTACCGTCCGGCTCGAGACGAAGGAGCGGGATCGGGTTGGCGAGTGAAGTGGTTGAGTAAGCCATTGTCAGTGTGCAGCGCGGCACTTCTGGAAATTGGTCGACGAGAATTGCTGAAAATAACTCTGACGGCTGTATCAAAATGCCGCTAAGTAGGAAATGGCGTCGGCGAAAATTCGTTTAAACGCCGACTTGAAACTGAATCTGAGCCTATGTCTAACCCCAGACCCACACACCCCCCCCCATAACCCCAAGCCCTGTCCCGCAGCTACACAGCTCCGCTCCGCTTCAACCTGTGTACCTACTCTTGATTTGACGCGAGACGTTCGTGGAGGCGATTTCGCGAGGGGAGTTCGCCTATTCTGGCGGGGCCTGAGGGGAAACTCGAGAACGAGTTTTAAGAGATGGTCGAAATTGAGATTCGACAAAGGAGAACCGAGGAGGAAATCGACGATGAGAAGCATGAAAGCTTCAGAGATCAGAAATTCAACGAGGTCGAGCGCGAAGGCGGTCGACGATGAGAGGCGCGACTGCAGAGTGGAGCATGTCGAAATTCCGACGACTTGAAACCAATGTCGCGACGATGAAGTGCGCGTAGCGCGGACACGTTGAGATTAGGACCTTGATCCGCGTGTGCGGATTAGGTCGCTCTGATACCATGTAAGAAATAGAGTTGAAATGATTGATAAGGTAAGGAGCCCAAGGCTCTATAAGTACATGGCAAAGTGAGAGTGAATGGATGAAGGGGGAATTGGAGGGAATCCCCATTGGGATCTCCGGAATCTCCAATTGGGTAATTGGAGATTGGGGGGATCACAATTGGGTGAGGTTGGGATTTGTGAGTACACCCCAACCCACTAGAACATTCATAACCTAAACTAGGATACAAAAGTACAAATACAAAAGTGGTATTTGCCGTCTATTTCTAACAGTGGTTCCTCCAGCGCCCGATCTACAGCCTGTGACACGACACTCTGCGTGCTACTCCAGCTGACCTCTGTAAAGGCTGAGCTGCTGAGGAGAACACCTGCACTAACCTAGGAGAACTGCGCCGCTACCTTGGCCTGCAGATCTCCATGGATAGAGCAGCGCGCACCATCACTCTCACATCGTCACACTTGGTGTGCCACGTCCTTCAGAGGTTCGGTCTTTAGTTCTCCTCTGTACAAACCATTCCTTTGCCAGTAGACCATGGACTCTTTGCTCCCGTTAGAGCCCAGCGGCCCCTACGCAGAGCTGGTGGGTTGCCTCGTGTACCTGATGACTTGCACTCGCCCAGATCTCGCATACCCTCTCAGCATCCTGGCTTGCTTTGTGGCCACATGCAGACACCGACCGCAGCACTGGTCGGCAGCTAAGAGGATTTTGCGTTATCTAGCAAGTACATCGGGCATGGGGCTCGTGCTGGGAGGACGCAGGCTAGTGGTCCTTACTGGGCACACAGACGCTTCGTAAGCAGACAACGCTGAGACCCTCAGATCCTCCCAGGGCTACTGCTTTAGCCTTGGTTCAGGTGCCAACTCGTGGAGGTCCACCCGCTCGTCGTCTTTTGCCCAGTCTAGCTGTAAGGCTGAGATCTACGCCGGTACCATGGCAGCAGTGGAGCTCCACTGGCTGAATTTCTTGCACACTGACTTAGGTGAGTGGCCTAGCTCTGCCCCGGTCCTGTAAGCTGGAAACAGGGCCATGATCCTCATGTTTCAGGAGCCTAGACTTGAGGGCAGAGCGAAGCACATCCAGCTGTGGTACTGCCTCTTGCGTGAGCTACAGCAGCGCCGCCAGGCTTGCGTAGTGCACTTGGCCTCCAGTGCCAACACAACTGATATCTTTGCTAAGGCGCTTGCGCCTAAAGATCATCAGCTGCACTGTGTACAGCTTGGTCTAGTTCCCGTAGCTCCTCACTTGCTAGGACCTTGATTGTGTACTACTCCTTATATTATCTTGACTTGCCTTGTGGCTCTTGTTCCAGTGGCTGGACTAGTAGTGCCACCTGTCAACTTATACATATATTGTTATGTAGAAGTTATAGGCTAGATAGGGTATGTTCTTAGTGGGTACAACCCAAATGCTATATCTCCCCTGTTCTCCCTTCCTCTAATCATTCTTTCTAGTCTTAACATGGTATCCCGAGTAGGTAGGTCCACCCACCCGCTTCCGCACCGTGCCGCCACCTACCGGACCCTCGCGCCCCAAGCTGGCCCCGCGCGCCCTTATGGCCCCATCGCACCCCTACGGCCCCGTCGTGCCCCTACGGCCCTGTCGCGCCCCTAGCAGGCCCCGTCGCCCTTATGGCCCCGTCGCGCCCCTACGGCCCCATCGCGCCCCAAGCAGGCCCCGTCCCACCCCTACGGCCCCGTCGCGCCCCTAGCAGGCCCCGTCGCGCCCCTGCGGCCCCGTCGCACCCCTAGCAGGCCCCGTCGTGCCCTACGGCCCCGTCGCGCCCCAACGGCCCCTTGCGCCCCTAGTCGGCCCCGTCGTGCCCCTAGCTAGCCCCGTCGCGCCCCTACGGCCCCGTCGCGCTCCTACGGCCCTGTCGCGCCCCTATGGCCCCGTCGCACCCCTAGCCGGCCCAGTCGCGCCCCTACCGGCCTCATCGCGCTCCTACGGCCCTGTCGCGGCCCAAGCCGGCCCCGCGTATTACTATGGCCCCGTCGCGCCCCTACCAGCCCCTCGCGCCCCTAGCCGGCCCCTCGCGCCCCTACGGCCCCTCGTGCTCCTACCACCCCCCACCCCCCCGCGTCCCTAGCCGGCCCCACGCGCCCTTGCTGGCCCCGCTCGCCCTAGCTGGCCCTTTGTGCCCTAGCCGGCCCCTTGCGTCCTAGCCGGCCTCATCGCCTGAGCCGCCGAGCCGACGTGTCCCCGAGCCGAGCACCCGCGCCGCCGAGCCGCCTTGCCACTGAGCCGCCATGCCGCCAAGCTGCCGTGCCGCCGAGGCGCCGTGCCACCGATCCGCCGTGCCGCCGTGTCCCCAAGCCGCCGAGCCGCCGTGCCGCCGTGTCCCCGAGGCGCTGAGCCGCTGTGCTGCTGTCACACTGTGCGATGGCGGACGCCGTTCTTCGCTTGGACGTTGAGGGGCACGCGATCAACTTCGCCGCCTGGCTCGTCGGCCTCTGCCGGCACCTCACAGGTCAGCGCCAGGATGGGCACTCCCTGCTGAGCCTACCACTGCTGAGAGCAAGGCTTATGTTGCTGCTGCGCTTGCTCGAGCTGTCTGGGATTCTCGCGACGCAGTATCCCAGCTTGCCATTAGCCATGCCCTCCCCATGTTTGATCGTCCGTGATTTACCGCTGTCGTGAACGCCAAGGACATTCTCGCTGCAGTAGTTGAGCGTTACTCCACACCTGCGTCCGCCTCTGCTGGCTGCTTGATCCTACCCATGCTCTTCCCTGATCTTTCTGCTTTCCCCACGGTAGCTGACCTCGCTACTCATCTCCGTTCACTAGAGACCAGCTACCGCGCTGCTAGCTCTGCCGCCCAGCTTACTGCCTTCCCCCCACCTTTCTGCGCTACCCTGTACCTCATCGCCATGCGCCTGCCTGACCGCTTAGCCACGGTCCGCGACCACTTCCTTAGTCAGCACCCTGCCGACCTCACCCTGACTGCCTTTGTCACTACTCTATCTGAGATAGAGACTCGCCAGCGCACTATCGCTCAGTCGAGCGGTGTTGTGGCAGTCCCTATCTTTCAGGGCTGTCCCCCCTCCCAGAGCACGTACGCTGACGTCTCCGCCACAGTTGCCACGACTGCGCCTGCACCTGAGATAGCAGCTACTGCTTACCTGCAGCAGCGCCAGCGCCATGGCCGCCATGGCCCCAAGGAAGGACGTGGAGGTGGCGCTAGTGGTGGTGGTGGCGGGGACAGTGGTTCTGACGAGGGGGTTGGTGCTGGTGCCCAGGAGCAGCAGCAAACGCCGCAGTCGCAGCCGCTGCAGCAGCAATAGCAACCGTCACAGCAGCAGAAGCAGCCGTGGGCTTGTCTCCCGCCCGGGTGGCCAGGAGCCCCTGGCGATGGTGGTCGTGGTGGTGGCCCTCGCAGCTCGGCGTCCACCGGCAGCTTCGGTGCTGTGAGCTGCCAGTACCAGCTTCAGACCAGACCCTTGCGTGGCACGGTGTGCCGCCGCTTGCACCCCACTGCACGCTGCTTCTGCCGCCTCGACGACCTCTTCCGTCGTCGCTTTGGTCCCGCCCCGGACCTCCTTGACTGGCCCTGCCTGCTGCGCCACGGTGTGCATGTGGCTGACTTAGACATGGATCAGATTAGTTCTGCCTTGCATTCTCTGTATGCTGACGCTTTGAGTGTTTCTGGATCGTATTTCTCTGCGTTCTCTAGCTTAGGCATAGCACATGTGTGTAGTCCAGACTCCCGTGCTGCGTCAAGCGTGGGACAGCTTGCTTTGTCTAGCCTAGGCTCTACCCTTGCTCCTCCGTCGTCGGCCACTATGGCGTCGCTGTCCTTCACTCTAGACTCCGGTGCGTCAGCTTGTTTCTTCCGCGACCACGCCGCCCTCACGCCACTTGCTACGCCTGCCGTTGTCGCCCTTGTGAACCCCTCCTCTGGTCCTGTAGTTGCTCGCAGCTACAATACCCTTCCCTGTCCAGCGGTTCCCTTGGGTTCCCTTACAGGTCTGCACATCCCTTTGTTCTCCAAGAACTTAGTTGGTGTCGGCTGTCTTCAGGACCCCGGCGTCACCACTACATTCCCTGGTCACGAGCGGTACGCAGTCTGTTCCGAGGCCACCTCAGGTGCCCCCCTTGCGACGTTCCCCCAGGACCTTGTGTCTGGCCTGTTGACGCTGGACACTGCTCCCCCCCCCGGCAGGCGAGTCCTCCTTCGGTCCTGCGTCCACCCAGGTAGCTGCGGCCTGCTCGTGTCGTCGGTCACTCACCTGTCCCTGTTGTGGCACCACCGTCTAGGTCACCCCGCGCTCCCCCGCTTGCATCACATGACTCAGCACGGTCTAGTCCTCAGCCTCCCTTCGTCGCTCCCTGCTCTCCCTCCCTCGACTGCCCCGCCGTGCACGCCCTGCGTCGAGGGCCGGCTGCGCCGTGCTCCTCACCCCTCCTCACTTCGCCCTGCCACTGCACCCCTTCAGACCCTGCACCTGGACGTCTGGGGCCCAGCCCTTGTCCCTGGGCCGTGTCGCGAGCGCTACTTTCGTGTTCTCGTTGACGACTTCACGCGCTACACCACGGTGTTTCCCCTGGAGCGGATGGCCGACGTGCCTGACGTTCTTATCCCGCGGCTCGTCGCTGCGCGCCTCCACCGCGGTCTCCCTGTGCTGTGTCTCCACTCCGACCGTGGCGGCGAGTTCGCCTCTAGTCGGCTTGGTCAGTTATGTCGTGCGGAGGGTATCACCCAGACGTACACCCTACCGGACTCGCCACAGCAGAATGGGGTCGCTGAGCGACGCATCGCTTTGGTCATGGAGGTTGCTCGTACCTCCATGATCCATACCGGTGCACCCCATTTTCTGTGGCCATTTGCTGCTCGCTACGCTGCTCACTAGCTTAACCTCTGGCCTCGCTCTCAGCGGCCACAGGTTTCGCCGACCCTCCTTTGGACCGGATTCCCTGGTGACGCGTCTGCGTTCCACGTCTGGGGCTGCCTTGCTCACGTTCGTGCCCCCGGCGCGGACAAGCTCACTGCCCGCACCGTCCCTTGTGTCTTCCTCGGTTTCCCCCTTGACTCGCCTGACTGGCACTTTTACCACCCGCCGTCTCACCGCTTCCTTCACTCCCGTGACATCACTTTTGACGAGTCTGTCTCCTTTTTCCACCGCTTTCCTCTCCGAGGTCTCCCAGTCCCCCCCCCCCCCCCTGTTTCTGGTTCCCACTCCCCCGGTCGCCCCTGCTCCCCTCCCTCCCCGTCCTACTCTGTCTGGTGTGTCTCACGTCACTCCCCTCCCGTCGGTTGTCCCGGTCGAGGAGTCGGCTGACTCCGGTGGCCCTGCGCGCAGTCTGCGCCGCCTGTCCCTCCTTCAATGTCTCCTCCTCCCTCCTTGCAGTCGCCGCCGCAGCCGCCGCCGTCGCAGCCGTCGTCGCAGCCGCAGCCGTTCATGGACTCTGGGGGTGCTGGAGTTGGAGAGGGTGCTAGTCCTGGGGCTCCTGTCGTGGCTTGTCCTGGCGGGCTCGGGGGTGGCACTGGCGCTAGAGACGTTTCTGGTTCTAGGGGTGGTGGCATGGAGTGTACTGGAGGTAGCAGTGGTGCAGCTGGTGGTCCAGGTGTCGGCGTTGAGCAGCAGCAGCAGCAGTCACCGCCGGTGTCCGCCCTTCGCCTGCTCGACCTTCCCTCCCCTGATCGCTCGCCTGCGCCTCCCTCGCCATCTCCCCTTCTTCCTGTTCACGGTCCTGTGTTTCCTCCGCCGGACTCGTCCCCGGCTCTTTTCCCCTCTCGTTCCCCTCCTGCTACTCCTCCTCTGTCTCCTGACCCAACGTCTCCGTCTCACGTCTGGTCTCGCCGTCCCTCTCATGCTCGTCCTGTCTCTCCTGTTCAGTGTTCTCACCCTATGTTGCTTCGTTCCCACGCGTCTTGTCCTCCCTGTTTACCTTCGCCTCCTTCGTCGTCGCTCACTGTTGCGCCTCCCCCTCTGTCTGACTACCTTCGTGCTGCTCGTCCTCTTGTTCCTCGGGTCCTTGCCTCCCTCGTTACGGACCCGTCTGTTCCTGTCTCCAGTCTTGACGCTCTTGTAGCTGCTGTCGCAGACTTTGCCTCTACTTGCCGCCTTGACTTCGCTACAGCTCTAGTCTCTGACCCTGTCTGTCCTCCGTCTGTCGAGGGTGCTCCTTCCCTTGGCATTGACATCTTGGGGGACCGGCAGTACGAGCTTGTTTTCTTGTCCGAGGCTGCTCCCATCTCTGTTCCATGCTGCTAGTCCCAGAGGGTGACCCTGACGCCTTTGACATCCCGACCCCTCGCACCTACGCTGAGGCAACCTCGGGACCCTGGGCCTCTCAGTGGATAGCTTCTATGGAGTGGAGATGGCATCTTGGAGGGCTATCGGCACCTACGTTGATGCAGTTCCCCCACCTGGGGTGAACGTAGTCGATGGCCGGTTGCTCTTCAAGGTGAAGCGCCCCCCTGGAGAGCCGCCTGTGTTCAAGGCGCGCTACGTGGCTAGAGGCTTCAGTCAGCGAGAGGGGGTGGACTTCTTTCAGACCTTGAAGATGACTACTCTTCTTTCAGCCCCGACCCTGAAGATGACTACTCTTCGGGCGCTGCTACACGTAGCAGCACAGCGTGACTACGAGCTTCACTCCCTCGACTTCTCCACTGCTTTCCTTCAGGGCAGCCTACACGAGCAGGTCTACCTGTGCCACCCTCAGGGCTTCACCGGTACTTTCCCTCCTGGGACCCAGTGGCTCCTCCGGCGCCCTGTCTACGGTTTGCGACAGGCGCCCCGTGAGTGGCATGACACGCTGCGTGCCACACTAGCTGACCTGCAGTTCTTTCCGTCCTCTGCTGACCCTTCGCTCTTCGTTCGTCATGGCCAGACTCCGCTCTACATCCTAGTCTACGTAGACGATCTGGTCTTTGCTACCGCAGACAGAGACGCGCTGGCCTCCGTGAAGGCTGAGCTGCTGAGGCAACACACCTGCACTGACCTGGGAGAGCTGCGCCGCTACCTTGGCCTGCAGATCTCCAGAGACAGAGCAGCACGCACCATGACTCTTACACAGTCACACTTGGTGCGCCAGGTCCTTCAAAGGTTCGATCTTCAGTTCACCTCCGCACAGCCCACACCTCTACCGGTAGACCGCAGGCTCTCAGCTCCAGTTCCCGAGGAGTCAGCAAAGCCCAATGGTCCTTACGCTGAGTTGGTGGCATGCCTCACGTACCTGATGACTTGCACTCGCCCAGATCTCGCATACCCTCTCAGCATCCTGGCCCGCTTTGGGGCCACGGGCAGACACCGACCACAGCACTGGCCGGCCGCTAAGAGGATTTTGCGTTTTCTTGCAAGTACATCGGGCATGGGGCTAGTGCTGGGAGGACGCAGGCTAGTGGTCCTTACTGGGCACACAGACGCTTCTTGGGTAGACGACGCTGAGACCCTCCGGTCCTCCCAGGGCTACTGCTTCAGCCTTGGTTCTGGTGCCATCTCGTGGAGGTCCACTCGCTCCTCGTCTGTTGCTCAGTCTAGCTGAGAGGCTGAGATCTACGCCGGTGCCATGGCGGCACAGGAGCTCCGCTGGCTGACCTCCTTGCTTGCCGACTTAGGTGAGCAGCCTAGCTCTGCCCCAGCTCTGTACGTTGACAACAGGGCCATGATCCTCCTGTGTCAGGAGCCTCGACTTGAGGGCAGAGCGAAGCATATCCAGCTGCGGTACTTCCTCCTGCGCGAGCTTCAGTAGCGTTGCCAGGCCCGTGTAGTACACTTGATCTCCGGTGCCAACAAAGCTGATATCTTTACTTAGGTGCTTCTGTCAGAATGCTAGACTAGGAGGTAGGAAGCAGAATGGCGGCGGGGTTTAGCTAGGAGGCAGACAAGAGTATCGAAAGAAAATAGAGCCTTAGAAAGGAAGAGAGAGGGATACAAGGAGGGGTGTTGTACCCTCTACATAAATGTCCAGTAACGTCTACCAAGCCTACAATTATTTACGAACATATATAATTTAACAGCTTCCGCCTAGAGATCATCAGCGGCACTGCTTGCAGTTAGGTCTAGTTCCTGTAGACTCTCACTTGCTAGTCCCTTGATTGTGTACTCCTTTCTATTTATACCTTGCAGACTGGCCTTGTGGCTTTTCCTCCAGTGGTTGGACTAGTAGTGCCGCCCTGGTTTGCTCTGTCTTGCTTGTACTCTTGGTGACTGGTCTTCGGGCCCCTGCCTCAGAGGTTGGACTAGTAGTGCCACCCTGAGCTCGTGTTTCCTGCTCAGCACTACCCCTTATCTAGCCTAGGGGGTATGTCA